AGATGGGTCTATCGCTGATAGAAGGCTCTGATTAGTCGCAATCCATAACCTCTGTTCTAAAGAGTACTGGGGTTCTTTTTTTTACTGAGAATCAAACCCAGGGCCTCATGCTTGCCAGGCAGGCGCTGTATCACTGAGCTACATCCCCAGCCCTATTCATTTGTATCTTGATTAACTTCATGATTTTGATTTCTACTTGGAAGCTGTCCTCTTTAAAAAATTGTTATAAAGCAAGTTTGGTTGATTTGCTTAATAAAAATGTACTTCACAATGGAAAATACCATGATTAATGGATAGATAGCATAAAAACATTGTTTTACTTTTAAGAATATTATGTAATTTGCTTAAGCTTTTAAATAGGTTTCTGCCTAAAGGTCCTAGGGTTCCTAAGCAAAGCTGCCCTTGATAGGTTTTACCTGAAGTCATATTTTCTATCTTTCACTGTGCAGACATCTAGGCTAACTTCTACTGTGGGAGCAAACATTACATGACTAAACCAGGTGCACAGTAGATATGCAAAATTGTTCAGGTGATAACATAAATCATATACAAACAACAAAACAGCACCTTTGCTTCAGCCAACCTCCCAAGTGGAAGACATCCCAGCATACAGAAACTTGCCTTTCCTCTCATGTCTACTCATACAGTTGCATGGCTTATTTTCCTAGTTCAGTTCCATAATTCAAATATTTCTACTCTCTGTTTCTCTCTTTGCCTCAAATTCAACAGACCTAAAATAAAACCAATCATCACATCTTACAGTTGGATGAGATGCCAGGGGACACTGACTCTTGACTCATGGCTCCATGAATGTATAGCTTTCCAAGAGAAAAGGGATCTCTAATGTCTGTTTTCATGCCTCCACGTTCAGGGTACTCTCTTCTTTCCAGAATAGTATTTTGGGCCCCTAAAAACCAGTTCTATGCTCAGGTTTTCTCAGTCAGGAAATTATATCATTCACTTCCTAAGTTCTTGCTCAGCACCTTCGATTACTCGCAAGACCCTATACCCAATCAAGTATCGGATGGGTTAGTCCTAAAATTTTTCAACAGCTCTCATAGCCCCATAATTCCTAGAATGTAACTGCCAGTTTATTACACTAATATTGTAAATCAAGAACTCAACCTGGCCAATTGAAGATTTACTTTAAATCTTGTATTTCACATGATCTTTTTGATCAAACATCCAAAAATAGTCATTAAGTTAGAAATAAAGTTACAGTTCATTAGCAGATAAAGTGATAATTGTGTAGTTTATACATCACTTACAGATTCCTGTGATGAGAAAAGTGCTGTATGTAATGGGAAATGACATTTCAAAGAAATTTTGTTAAAATCTGTATGGTTCACAGGGCAGGGCTCATTATTTTAAGTTTCTCATGTTTTTTCTTACCCTCTATGGTATAGACCTAATCTAGCTTTCCCTACATAAAGCACCAACATAATCTTTTCTTATGATACCAGAAATACCAGCACCTTTAAAGTGCATGAAAGATGCAAAAGTAAAACTGACAATTTCACCTATTTTCAAATTACTTGAGTAGGACGGACAGAAATAGGATTAGTGAATGTTACATATCATTTCCTCACATACTTGACAACAGAAATATGCCGAAACATGAGTTATGTGGAGTTCATTAAGGTGCAGATTCTCTTCTGATCTGAGATAAAGCATTAGAAGAAAATCACTTGGTGATGAGTATATCACCAGTTACTAGACTAAGTTTCCAAAAGCTGTATTGATGCAGTGAAACTTACTAAACAGGAATAATTCAATGCTGTTTAGAAGTTTGACTATGTGAGCCCCCCAAGTAGGCTAATTCTCCTCACTCTGCACTCTCTAGTTATGAACTCATTAACATCCAGGGAAAGTAGCATTAACCTGTACGAGTAGCATTAACTTATATGCTACTTCCCAGAGGATTCAATGAGGCAGAAACCAATATAAAGGACAAGGAAGATTATTCTCTATTATTCAGATCTTTAAAAACATGAGCACTCAAAAGAAGTGAAAATAAATACTCGAATAAGTATATGTTCATGCATGTTCATAGCAGCAGTATTTCATACCAGCCAGAAAGGGGAACCAGCACAAGTGTCCATCAATCTATTCACGGATGGATAAACAATTTGTGCTAAGTACAGAAATAGAACTAAATAACTGACACATGTTGGAGTGTGGATGAACCTTAAAAACAGTGAAACAGTAAGTGAAAGCAGCCACAAACAAAATATCATGTGTTATGTATTCTATTTATATGTAATGTCAAGAATAGTTAATCCTCCATGCACAGAATGCAGGCTGGTGACTGCAAGGGCTTGACGGGAGGGGGAAATAAGAAGAAACTGTTTAAAGAGTAAGAGGTTTTATTTTGGAATGATGCTAATTGGACAGAAGCAATGGTTGCACATTATGAATGTACTAGAGCCACTGACCCATTCATTTTACAGTGGTTAAGAAAAAGAAAAACAATGAGCCTGTCCTAAAATCAGAGTGCTTACCTTGCATACCATGGATGTCTTTGCTCCAAGCCTGGCAGCCTGGACACACTGGTTGGCACCTTTCCCTCCAAAGCCAATAAAAAACTTATGTCCATGGATGGTTTCTCCAGTTTTTGGCAAACGAGAAGTAAGACTATTATAATTTAAAAACAGAAAAAAAGAAAAAGTACATTGGTAACTGCAAGTGATTTAAGTTCTTTAGAAGAGGAAAGGTTACCTGATGGACCGAGCTTTAAATAGTCTTAATGAAGAGCCTTATAGTTTAGCAAGTAGAGAAGATTGCCTTTTATTTAAGGTAACATTCAGGAGTTTATTTCACTATGGAGAATGTGCTTCCTTGATAAAATTCCTCTCCCCTACACCCCATGCTATAATTCTACTTAAAGATGGTAATACTTGGTGTTTGTACTGCACCAGGGATATTTATAGGGACCTTGGTTTCATTCTCCTGTTCACAATGCTCAGCATAGTTTTATTCACAGTGGGATCTGGTACATGGTACGAGGTCAGTGTGTTTCTGTATGGTCACTTACCAGGATTCTAGTAATCATGTTAGGAAAGAGAAGTCACAATTCCAGGTAGTAAAGGATCTTATCCGATTATGAGAGGCGGGATAGTGAAAGGGCAGGATCAGGTTTTGGCCCCATTTCATACCACATTTTATGTACTAACTCAAAAAGAACACATATTTAAAACAATGGATCTTAAAGAGCTGAGTTTAACTTTTTATTATGGAAAATTTCAAACATATAAAAGTAAAGCAAATAGCATACTGACTTCCCTTACACCTATTCATCTATCACCAAGATTCAGTAATTATCAACTCACAGGCAATTTTGCTTCAGTCTAAACCTTCACTGACTTCACCACAAGCTAAGTACTTTTACCATAATGTTATTGCCTGATGATGACAGTATTAAATGAGGCAAAAAGAATAAAAGGTTTGTTCCAAGGTAAGCTTTTCATAACTGTGAAGACAGAAGATGTGAGGAAACAAAGTCTTAGAAGGATGGAAGGAAATGACTGACTTTAAAATGGAAGAGGAGTTCTGGGAATAGGGGCAAGTAAAGAAGGGGTAAAGTGGCCTGGAGACCGCCGCCCATCTGGCCACAAGGAGCAGATGGAGAGGAATCAGGTGTGAACAAAAACGTTAGTTTTAGATGAGAAAGGCCAAGAGGTAAGTTTTCTGAGAACCTATGCTACTTTAGATTATAAATTTATATTAATTTATAGGTTATGAGAGAGCTGAAATAAACATAATAATGTATAATCCTAGAGTAACAGAACAATGGTAATTCTCACAGGTCATTAACAGCTTGTTTGCAATGGGTGAAAGATTAAACCCAACCTGTGAGCCTCCTTTCTGTGGTTCTAAAAGTGTTAATAAATTGGGTTAAACTACTCCATTCCTGAGCAGCACACTGTCAAATATGGTTGAGATTCAAAAGAGGTTCATCAATAATTTGAAAACATCCCACTCCTCCTCTTTTCAATTCTATTTTTATCTTAGATTCTAAATGCATTTATAGTACTGATGAAGAAAATATACATCTAGAAGGTTCACTTCTGAAAAAGGTACTCAATCAAGAGAAAAATGGTTTTAATGTAATGTTATTATCCTGTCATTTAATTTAGCGGTGACAAGTGATGATGAGATTTTGATTTGCATCAGAAATCTTAAACATTTTAGGATTCTGTTATGAACAGGCAATGATGAGTAATCTGTGTGATTGAGTAACTATGTGAATTCTTGGCTTATTGATGCCGTGACAAACAACACTCATAACAACCTTAAAAAGAGAAAAAAATCCAATGTGGCTAAAGATGGGCCAAATAACTTCATTACTGAGATTGTCACTAAAGAAATGTATGTTTTTCACTATATTTACATTTAGATCTGGGTCAAATTCCTGGTTTGAATCAAGTATCTTTTTAATTAACAGCTGTGGGAAATCACGAGAATTATGTGACCAAATTATTACTGGGATGAGTATATATAAGGGAGGGTGAAATCAGGGGTGCAGCGTATGTGTGTTTCATGTGGGAGCAGATGGCTAGGATTTAAACTCATTTCTAAATACATAAATGGTATTAACATAAGCACTGTATTAATTCAGCAATCACTGAAATTCATTACTTCTTTGGTATTTTACTATTTTCTTTCCTCTTACTTCTGCATTGTTTTCTTGCTGCTGCCTCTTTCTTCTTCCAATGGTAGACTTTCCTTACATGAGGACAGGGACTATATCTACTATGTCCTCCATTTTAGACAAAGTGCCTGTCACTTAGCATGAAGTTAACAGACATGTGCTGATGGAATGAATTATTTTGGGGTACTGGGCATCAAATTCAAATATGTGGATGCCACTGAGCTACATCCTCTGCCCTGGAATGAATTTTTTGAAGAGTGTCCCTTTGTGTCTTTTCTATGTCTCTCCTATATAGCATCCATTCTTGCTTCTGAATTGAGGGTGTGGAGCTGTTGACTAGCGGCAGGAGAAGGAGACTGGCAGGGGTGACTATATAGTTTTCTGGTGATAGTTCCATATTTTACCGAATTTTGCCTATTGCATTCCCAGTTTCAGCTTCCATATCATTTCTTCATGTGAGCAATAACTCAAATGTTGATGCAGTGTTTCTCAATTGAGCAAAATCAAATTGCTGATAAGGGGATAAAGTTCAAGCCTGATGCAAGTAACAGATGAGTGCAAAGAACATGTCACAGAACATGGAGCTTATTTTACGATCCAATTTGTGTCTTTTTTAAAAAAGAAAAAAAGACTTATGTAGTCATGCATTGCTTAATGACAGGAATATGTTTTAGGAAATGCATTATTGAGTGATTTTGTTGTTTTTGGAACCTCACTTATACAAACTAAGATGGCAGTATAATCCTGCGGGCGACCATCATTATATATGCTGTCAGTCCACGGCTGGTAGGAATGCATTGAATGCGTCGGATGATTGTGTGTTCTCATATGGTATGTAAATGCATAGAAAGTGAAAAGTTTTTGACACGTATCCACAGAACAGGTGGGGCCAAACATTTCATGTTTTACTTTATATACTTATGTACATAAGTGTATATAGCAAGAATATATTGGTATATTACGGTATACCACTGTTACTACTCCAGGTTAATATGCCCTTGCTATCTTATTTTCTAAGTACCTGTTCTTCATGGGCACTGACTGGCTTCTTGCAGGTGCCACCTAATGGGTCCTTGCCCCATGCTGCATTCTTCCTACTGCAGGACTTCTCTGTTTCTGTGCTATGGTTCTTCAGGCTGTCCTGAAGGACTGAACTACTGGGTGCTTGGAAGAGCAGCCAACTCAAGGACATCAAGTGACTTATAATGGGGTCTTCTTTTTTCCCTGTTTTAATTTCTCTGCCACTTGCTCTTGCTTTCTCCAGTATAGTGCTGAATAGAACAAGGGGATTTCAGTCTTCGTCTTACACACTGCTTCTGTTTAAACAGACTAAGAGAGCTGGGCATGGTGGCCCATGGCTATAGTGCTAGCCTTTGGGAGGCTGAGGCAGGACTGTCATGAGTGAAGGCCAGTCTGGGATACTCGGTCAGTTCAAGACCAACCTGAACCACACAGCAAGACCATGTCTCACAAACAAACAATTAAATAAAAAAAATCAAAACAGACTAAGGCAGTTTATGGCATGTTTAATTTTTTAAAAAAAAGTAAATTTAAAGTGGAGAATGAAGAAGAGACAATTAGAAAGTTAATTACAAACGAACAGAATCATTTCTGAATTATAAATCCCAGTTTACTTTGAATTAGGCTTTCCTAACATTTTTCCTTATTGAAACCAGGAGATTATATTCAGGTTTAAGAAACAACCTGCACAAAGCACCATTCCCTGGATACAAGGATTCCATGATTTGCCCTAATTCAAACATGAGGTCTAGCAGGATACTGAAGATAGATTAAAGGGCTTGAAGGAAAAGAAAAATAAAAAAGGAGTACTGGTAAAACAAAACAAAATACTTGCTACCACTTAAAGTTAAAATAGGCTGGGTGTGATGGTGCAAGTCTATAATCCCAGCACTTGGGATGCTGAGGCAGGAAGAGTGCAAGTTTGAGTTCTGCCTGGGCAACTTAGTGAGACCCTGTCTCAAAAAGGGCTGGATGTAGCTCAGTGTGAAGGCCCTGGGTTCAATCTTCAGTTCAAAAAAAGTTAAGAGAAAAAAAAAATCTCTGAATGAGGGTAAAACTCAAACAAGCAAAACTATGCTTAACACATGTAGCTGAATGGAACACAAATCCATAGCTTTAAAAAATATCATGTTTTTGAGTTGGGCAGAAAGGAACAGTGATACCTGCTCATAGACGGCCCTGTCATCTTCTGTGCCAGAAGCCACGTGGTTACAGCCTGGGGTTTGAGGCAGGAGGCCTGAGCCATTTACTGATTATGTTACCTTGACAGCTTTTCCCTCTTTGAACCAGCTTCTCTTCTTGCAAAAACAGTTTAATAACACTTGTCAACTCCTGAAATGGCTGGGTTTTGTGCTCTGAGTTAATTCACTGACAGGTGTTACCAGAACAACTTATCAATTGCTTTTAACTTCTTGACAACGAGGTGGTTGTCAGAGATTCTTAGAAATTATTCTAACCAAAGGAAGGAATGACCTGGTGAGAAGGGAACGAGAAGTCTTCCAATCTAACAGTGACATTAATACTGACTTCAGCCAAAAACCAAGGAATATATTGCTTTTTGGCTTTTCCATCAACTTTTTCTTCTTTTGGCTACAAGCTTCTAACATACCACCAGCCTCCATAATAGGAGACTGTACATTAGTTTATACCCAATTAAAGTTCATTACACTGATTTATTATTCCTATGCCCTGTATTCTTCAACCATATCTGTTCTTCTCAGCATTTGTGTATGTCACATTTAAAAGGTTGAGAGTAATTTCAAAATCAAGTTGTCATTTGCAACAATAGGGATGAACTTAGAGGGCATTATGTTAAATGAAATAAGCTAGGCACACAGAGATAAGTGCCACATGATCTCATGTATTTGCAGAATCTCAAAAAATTGAACTCATAGCAGTACAGTAGAATGGTGGTTTGCAGAAGCTGGAGGGGAGAGGTGGAGCTCTGGGAAGGGGAAGACAC